AACATCTCTGGGAGTTACATAGTTTTCTTGCGTTTGTTTTTTATCTGAAACAAAAAAAAACTCGTTCTTTTTTGCAAGACTTTCAAAATTATTTTAATTATAATAAATTGTTCACCATGGAGCTGAAAGGCAAAACTGATGGTTTGGCTTTGTTTCATATGGATTCGTATGATGTGTCGATTCTCTATTTTGATAAGCGTATGATAGACATCTCAGCTATAATAAAGGGACATAAAGTGTTTATGACCTTTGTTTATGGAGATTCGGTTGTGTGCCGTGTATATGTAAGGGAGCGTCTTACCCGTATGAGTGTAACGAGAGAAGTGGCATGACTCATGTGAGGAGACTTCAATGAGATAGTAAGCAATCAGGAGAAGCGAGGAGGACGTAAACGACCAGAGACATCTTTCTTAGCTTTCAAATTAATGCTTAACAATTGTGGTATGATGGAGTTCCCATGCAAAGGTAATTCGATGTCATGGATAAGATACAAAAGCTCCAGAAAGGTTCAATGTAAACTTGATAGAGATGTAGGTAATAAAGATTGGCATCAGTTTTTCCCCACACAAATGTGGAGTATTTAAAATTTTGGGGCTTAGACCGTCATCCCATCTTGACCCGTATCCAGTCTCGCTCAATAAGACTGCATCAATGTTTTAAGTTCGATAAACAGTGGTTATATAAGGATGGTTTCAAGGAAGCTATAGAATCAGGATGGAGCCTCACTGACCATGACTCAAACAGACCGCTCTATGTAAAGATTAGAGATGCTAGGCGCTCGATCTCCCAATGGAAATGGGCAAACCCATAAAATACAAAGAAGAAGATTGAGACGATAAGGGAACAACTCGAGAAAGCCCAAGTAGACCCTGAACATCCCACGTACTGAAATCTTGAACTTGAAGTGGAATCTATGTACAGCTTTTTGGGAAGAGGAACTGTACTGGAAACAAAAGAGCTAGGTCCTCTAGCTAAAGGATGGAGACATGACTATAAAGTTCTTCGACGCACTAACGAAGCAAAGACGAGCTCGGAATCGAATCACAAGGCTCAAAAAGACGCAAGGTGTCTAGGCTGAAAGCGACTCCGGAATAGAACAAGCCGCAACAAAATACTTCCAAGGCTTGTTCACTTTGTTGCAGCCAGAATATTTTGATGAAGCTCTCCGCTCTGTTACCTAGAAGATTACCCCGACGATGAATGTATCGCTTAGAAGCCAACCATCAGATCGCGAAATTGAACATGCTGTTAAAGATATAAATCCAGAGAAACCCTCAGGACCGGATGGTATGACTAGCCTTTTCTACCAGAGCTTCTGAAAGACCACAGCGAAGGATATCATCAAAATGGTAATAAACTTTTTTCGCTTCTGATGCCCTTGAATCGCGACTGAACCAAACAAATATATGCTTGATTTCGAAGACAGAACGCCCGGGAGAGATGACAGAGTTCGACCCATCAGCCTTTGCGATGTGAGCTATAAAATTATATCCAAGATTTTATGCCAAAGACTGAAGAAAATCCTCCCGAAAGTAATATCAGAGTCCCTATCTGCTTTTGTGGCAAAACGTCTAATTACAGACAATATCTTTTTAGCTCAGGAAGCTTTCCATGATTTGCGAACGAATCCAATCTGTAAAGCAAAATTTGTGGCAATAAAAACGGACATGATCAAAGCCTACGATGGAGTATTATGGAACTTCCAGAAGCCTTGATGATCAAAATGGGATTTGCAGAGAAATGAGTTGCTTAGATACGGATGTGCATTTCTTCGATTTCATATCAGGGGCTCCTGAATGGTGAACCCAAAGGTAATATTATACCATCACGTGGACTTCGACAAGGTGAACAACTATTTCCATTCCTTTTCATTATTATCACAGAAGCATTAATATCACAACTTAAAGGAGCAGAAGAAGAAGGAAGGATATCAGGCTTGAAGATTCCTAGGGCATGCCCATCCATCTCACATCTCTTTTTTGCAGACGATAACATTTTTTTTGTAGAGCAGATGTCCAGCAATGTGCTGAGTTGATAAAAATCATCGATATATATATATATATATATATATATATATATATATATATATATATATATATATATATAACAAAGCATTAAGCCTAAAACAAACACTGGGAATCCCGCATATATATATATATATAACCCTAAAACAAACACTGGGAATTCCACCTTCATATATATATATATAACAAAGCATTAAGCCAACAGCTGAACCAAAGCAAATCATCTATCTTGTTATGAAGCAAAATCCCACACGAGGTGAAAAGAACCCTAAAACAAACACTGGGAATCCATAAAGAAGGTGGAATGGGCATGTATCTTGGACTCATAGAGAAAATTTGTGGCTCAAAACCACAAGTATTTGCCTTTGTGCGGGATTGGCTAAACGAACAGATAAACTCTTGGTCAGCAAAACTCCTCTCCAAAGGAGGTAAAGAAATCTTTTTGAAATTTGTAGCACAAGCGTTGTCTACGTATTTGATGTCATGTGTCCTCCTACCCAAAAGGATCATAAATAAATTACAAAGAGCAATAGAAAAACTTTAGTGGAGCACAGAAGCAAATAACTGCAGTTTCCATTGGATTGCTTGGGAAAATCTCTGCAAGCCTTATGAGAATGACAGTCTAGGCTTCAGAGATCTGAGTGATTTCAATTTGGCCTTACTTGCCAAAAAATTATGGAGACTACTCCAACACTCGACGTCCCTACTCGCACGAGTCTTAAAGGGTAAATACTACCGACATACTAATCCTATGGAGGTCAAAACCTCTAACTCCCCATCTTTTAGGTGGAAAATCATGATGGCAGCTCAAGACCTCCTTCAAGAAGGCCTACGAAAAAGGATTGGATCAGGATATAATACTCGAGTATTGTCAGAATCCTGAATATTGGTAATCCCGCCATGACCTCCTAAGGAGAACGATAGCCATAGAGACCACAACCTGTTTGTAAATCATTTGATTTGATCAATCCTCGAAAACCTGGAAGCTGGATCTCCTCCATTCTTATTTCAATCTTGGAGATATTCCGTTGATACGAAGCTTGCGGCCCAGCCACAATTTTAGTGATGGTGATTTTGCTGGATCTATACAAAATCAGAAGCCTATACCGTTAAATCAGGATATAAAATTGCAACCCAAGTAAAGGAAGAGAGAGAGAAGATAATATGCCAAGAGCATAGTCTGAACGGTCTAAAGGAGCTAATTTGGCGACAGAAAGCACCTAGGAAGATTAAGCACTTCTTATGGCAAGCTCTCTCGGATAGTATTGCAGCTTTTAGCTGACTTGTTGACCGACATTGCAGCCAAGATCACTCATGCCTGAGATGCGGCAGTGACAATAAATCAGTAAACCATATCATTTTTACATGTCTTCTAGTACAACAAATATGGGCCTTATCGGAGATTCTATCACTTTCGAGGGTTTTTCTGAGCAACTCTTTATACGAGAACTTTGATTACCTCCTCCCATGTGCAAAAAGGAATGGAGCGACCAGTACGATGCTTGTGTTCTATCCATGGATCACCTAGTTTGTATGGAAAGCTAGGAATGACAAAGCTTACAATGGAAAGGATATCCAATCGCCAGATATGATGAACCAGTCATTGCAAGAAGCTGAAGAATGGAGAAAGGCACAAGTGATACAACAGCTAGTGCCAACGACGGAGACACCGAGTTCTTGAGAAAACGATCGGAGTGAACCATGCTTACCAAGATGCCAAGTGGACGCATCGTGGGTGGCAAATTCTGAAGTCTTTGGAGGCGGTTTCGTCTTGGAGATAGAGCCGGAGAAACATTTATATGGCTCAATCGGGAAGGAACATGTCATCTCTCCCTGTATACGGAGTTCTCATCCCTCTTATAGACAATATAATACTTTTTACATTTGGAATTCATATCAATGAATTTTAAATAGGATTGCTTCCAAATGGTCAATCTGATCAATGATGAAGAAGAATGGCTATCTATGGTCTTGGAATAGAATGAATTCGTTCATTTACGCTTCTCTTTTACTGTTTTTTTACTTTTTCATATTTCTCATAAATCCAGTGTACGGGTAGATATCTTTGCTAAAAGAGTTCATACCCAGAATCTGAATTTCTCCCATTTAAACGCTCTAGTTCCAGAATGGTTAATTTTCAAGACTAACTTCTTTGAATCATCTAATAAATTAATTGGGTTTGATGTCAAAAAAAAGTAACATGAATTTTGAAAAAATACCCATTTTGCAACACGGAGTTTTTTTGTGGACAATGGGAAGAAAATTAGCTCAAATAAGAAAATTAAAAATAAGACAAAGTTCTAATATAAAATTGGAATTACATGTACGCGTATAATAACTGTTCGTGCCATTTCACCTTCCCATTACCTCATTGACTTTTCTTGTGTAGCAGCAAAACCATTACTAGAATTATGCGCGTTATAGCTTTACAATTTATTTTCCTTTTACATCTAACTAAATTATATGTCCATATTCACTTAATGACATTTTGTTTTGTTATTTTGACAATTTGATTCTAAAAGTTCATGTGTTCATCTTCCGTTACAAAACACAAATAACTGTAACTTAAACTTTATTATCTTTAATAATTTTTTACTTAAACCATTGCTTTACAAACAAATATAACTTTTATACAGCAAAGCAAGGTTTGTCAATGTTTTTCTTTCCAAATAAAAGGTTTGTGAATAAAATCATATTTGGTTAAGTCGCAATGAGAAATGGAACCCACGTGAGAGAGGTGATATTAAGATATTTTTTTATTTTGTTTATATGAAATTGTTTAGAGAGAGAGAGAGATAAGGAAAGAGACTTCCACATGAAGACAGGGTAAGGTCTGGTAAAATACAGCTAGCATCAAAAGAAGAGAGAGAAGAGTGTTTCTCAAACCTAACTCTTTATAATAATAAGAGAGAAGCTATTGCCCTCCATTATTCACCCATTTCTTGAGTCAATCACTCCTTTTTCCTTTCTAAGCAATCTCTCTCTCTCTCTCTCTCTCTCTCTCTCTCTCTCTCTCTCTCTCTCTCTCTCTCTCTCTCTCATACCATCTGCATAGCACACTGAACAGAGGTTTGAATTCCCTCTATGACTCTGTTTTACACTCTTCTTTCTTGGTTTTGTTTTTGCCTTTCTTGGGGATTCTTGGATGAAAAATGTAGTCGTTAGAAACTGTAGTGTTTAAAAATGGGATTTTGCAGACTTAATGAGGTGTCGGTGCTGCAATTCTCTGTTTTTGTTTTTCTTGGGACTCTGTTTTTCTTCCTTTAAACTCTGTTTTGGTAACTGGGTAAATTGAAACTTTGATTCTTTTTTTCTTTTTGTGTGTTAAAAGAAGAATTCTAGAAAAGCTAGGTAATCAGGAATGCTTTATAAACGGTGACTTTTGAATTGTAGAGCCAGTGGTCTATTGCAATTGAATTTGTACCAAGAACTTAGAAGAATGGTCCTTGTCTAGCCATTATTTCTGTCACCCAAAAATAATATTTAAAAGAATTAAAAAGTGGGCCAATCATGTTTATTTTTGAAAATTTTGATTTTTAAGATGGTTCCAAAATGTGGTTCAAAGTTTTAGAAACTGTTGAAAAACTCTTGGTCATATCTCTCATTTAAATTGTTTTACTATCCAGATAATTGCTAAACCTGTACAAGAAGATGATTGGACAAAGCTTCCCAGAGGATCTTGACTGTGGCAACTTCTTCGACAACATGGACAATCTTCTTGACTTTCCCGGTGGTGATATCGACGTCGGTTTCGACATCGGTGACTCGGACTCTTTCCCTAACATCTGGGCTACTCATCACGACACGTGGCCCGCAGCTTCTGATCCTCTTTTCTCTTCCAACACAAACTCTGACACTTCACCTGAACTCTATGTTCCGGTCAGTTTCTACCCTAACTTCTTCTCTTGATTCCTCAATGCACTCTGCTTTGTTTTGACTTTTACTTATATGTTTTCTTCGTGGGAAACTACAGTTTGAAGATATTGTTAAGGTGGAAAGGCCACCAAGCTTGGTTGAGAAGAAGGAAGATTCGTTTTCAACGAACATGGATTCATCCTCTTCTCATAGCACATCCAGGAGCTCAAGTCCAGTGTCGGTGCTGGAAAGTAGCTCCTCATCGTCCCAAACGACCAACACAACCTCCCTTGTCCTCCCTGGAAAGCACGGCCGTCCACGCACTAAGCGCCCTCGTCCACATGTCCATGAGAAGGATGGAGTCAAAGACATTGTTGATTCGTGCCTCATCGTTAGAATACCGAAGCATTTTCTCTCCGACCACAGCAAGATGATCACTAAGAAGAAGAAGAAGAAGGCTAAGGTTACTTCTTCCTCTTCTTCCTCGGGGATTGATCTTGAGGTGAATGGAAACAACAATGTTGATTCGTATTGTTCAGAGGGAAATCCAGTTAGGAAATGTATGCACTGTGAGGTCACCAAGACTCCACAATGGAGGCTTGGGCCTATGGGTCCAAAGACACTTTGTAACGCTTGTGGCGTGCGTTACAAGTCAGGGAGGCTTTTCCCGGAGTACCGTCCAGCTGCTAGCCCAACATTCACTCCAGCTCTTCACTCAAACTCACACAAGAAGGTGGCTGAAATGAGAAGCAAGAGATGCAAGGATGGAAGCTACATGACCGAAGAGAATGATCTTCAAGATTTGATTCCGAACAATGCCTACTTTGGTGTAGACTAAAACCAAGAAAGATGATTCAGTTTCCAAATGTTGAAGTGATTAGAGTTGAGAGGAGTAGGAAGGAGTCACTGAGCAGAGAAGTTTTAGATTTAGAAGAGATGAATGAAGAGGAACAATCACTTAGAGGAGATTAAAAGTTAGAAGAGAATTGATTGTGATTGTATTTTGTATTTGTAGTGTGAATGGGCAAAGCAGAAGATTTTGAAGACATTAGAGAAAGTTAAGTGTTGAGTTTTACATTTGAATCTTCCTCTCATTTTCTCTTTCAATTCTTTGTATTTTTATTGTGATGATCCTTTTGGTAGTTCATTTGCTTAGCTTAAGGTTTATTTTTTGTTTATGTTAAAATCATATTTTATAAATTGTTAATTACTCTTTAAAACTCTAACGAATCTTTCGACTCATACTCATAGAAACAACCAACTCTAGATAAATTATACTCCACGAATCCCCCTTAGTCATTGGTAGATATGATTCAAGCAATAATATAAATTAAATGTAGATGTATGTTAATGGATCCATCTATGATGCCAAATTAAGTTAGAGTGGTTCTTAATTTACCAACTTTTCCAAACTCATCATTTCATATTAAACACACATTTGTGTTCGCCGGTGCGCAATAACCAACTCGATTAGACAACATATCATTTCTTCTTTGTTCACGGTTTTAATGATTTCACTTAACATTTTTGCCTCTCTCTGTTTCGGTTTTAATTATTTTACTAGATCATCAGTTTATATTTTATAATGACAAATTTTGTAAAGTAACTGAGTGTTGTTCAGTGGTAAGATATATTTTGTTGTATATGATTATCAGATCATCAGTTTGTCCACTGCTACTTCAAATCTCTCTCTTATCAGTTCTGCCATGAGAAAAGTAACCTTCAGCGTTTCTCTGCAACTAATCAGATCCATAATCTTTTTTGACTCTTGATTTCTAGCTCCTTTGATATAGCAGCACTCGTGATTTTCTCAAAGGATAATGTTTCCCTTCCATACTTAAGTGTTTCCTTCAAGTAACTGAACTCCCTCAGATATCTGCACATTCACACTTGAAAGATTTAATATTATCTTCAAGAAATCATCAATATTATCATCTACCGTCTGAGATTCTTTCATCTTAAACGTATAGAATTTATGCTGCAGGTGTATCTTATTAGGTAAGGATTTAGAGAGACACAACCTTTCTAATGTTGACCAAGTCAATGCAGCGTTAGTACACGCCTTGATCTTCCACAGTATGTGATCGCCAACGTTAAGGATGATAAGATTCATCGTTTTTTCAGATCTTTGCAACCTCTCTAGACTCTTCTCACTGTAATCTTTCATTGAACACATCTTCATCCTCGTCTTTCTTAATCACAGACTTTGGAATTTATGTTTTCTCCAACAATACATCCTTCAACCCCAAGACTGAAAGATGAGTAAGGGAGAGGTACATTACCCATGACCCTACTATTCTAATTCAAAGGAATGATCACACATTGTGGAAGCGAGGGAGAGGTAAATTACCCATGACCCCACTATTCGCCTACACTTTGTCAGAAAAGACTACAAAAATTAGAAAGATCAATAAGGTGAACATTTGTTGTTCATTGGGACTGATATAAAAGAAAAAGAAAAATTTAGGATTCAGAGAAGGGAGATATAGGGAGAAAAGAAATCAGAATGAGAATGCATGAAACTTACTTGAGTTGAATCCAAGTGTTCCTTGATCGATACTCCCAAAGTAAAGCCTACACTTTTATTTTATGCATAAATGAAATCAGTAGAGGGGATAGACAAACATGATTGCTAAGTTGATTGGCTAGATGAATTTGGTTACTAAGTTAGGATATGGTATAATGTACTTCTGTAGTTAATAGATATGAGATGTGGCTTACAACAAAGTAGATGTGATGATCTTAAGTTAAGATTTGATTGAATCCCTGTTGTTTTTTTTTTTAAACTTCTTCCAAAGACTAACTATTGTGTTTGCTTGAGGACAAGAAAAATGTTAAATCTGGGGGAGTTGATCTACCATGGTTTTGACCCACTTTTAACCATGGTATTGAGATGATTTTACAATATATATATATATATATATATATGTTTTTGAGTCTATTAAGTATGTTTTCAGGCTCAGGAGAATTTTGGAGTAAAGTGATGATTTAGGTGCCCTTATGGAGCTTAAAGAAGAGTTTTCGCGAGATAACTATGAAGATCAGACAACAATTTCGATATCCAGAGATACATATCGATCGATACACATCATGTGTAATCGATCGACGACGCTTTCGTAGAAGATGACGAATCGAGATACTCCTTCGATCGATGTACGCCTTGTACCATCGATCGATATCGAGCGTGAAGAATAAGTTTGACTCAGCCGACTTGAAGCCCAAGTTCTCTCAATATTATAAGATTGCCCCTGGCGTGTTTTTAACCTAATTGAATTCATATTTATAGTTATGCCTATGTGTTTTGGCAGGGGATGCTTTTGATTCTTAGTGTGCTTTTTAATACTCTTAGTGCTTTCATTAATAAAAGTATTATTTTCATCTTATTCTCATTTTCATCAAAGGTTATAGAGTTCTAGATTTAGAAGAATATACAAAGAGATTTGTTGTTCAAAGGAGCCAAGTGTTCAATCTTCTAATCTGATGAATTTCTATTATTACCTTGATGCTATGAATCACTTAGCCATGTCTGAGTAGATTCACTTGTTAGATTTTGGGTTCAAATAGTTATGAGGGATTAGCCCCAACTATAGATTGTTAAGTTGTGATATTCATTATCCTGATGAACCCTAATGTTTACTCTAGAGTAGCTAACTAGAGTATGATCCTGGAATGATTTAACTTTTTAATCATTATCCTGAAATCATTTGGCATAAGCTGAGATCTTCTAGGGACGAACGAGAGCCGGTCTATGATCTTGGTGAACACATATTCAATTCGATCTGAAGCTATATCGATCGATACTTCTATATAGTAATCGATCGACGGCAACCTATATCGTCCGATATCGCTGTCAAAACATCGGTCGATATTGCCGGCAGTCAGATCAATGGACGAGTCTAGATAGCGATTGCTAATAGACTTATCTAAGAGTTGAGTTCTTTAATATCTTGCAAGCAACTTATTAAGACATCTATAGCATTATAATCCTGATTATCTGAATAGCAACCTTGAATCTAAATTGTTTAAAACCTAAACCAATTTTCTTGAGCAACTTACCATTGCTCACAACTTCAATTTACTTTTAAACTTAATCAACCTAGCATAATCACTAAGGATTATATCTTTTGTGTTCCTTAGTTCCTTGTGGATTCAATTCCTAAGTACTACAATTGAACCTCTTATTTGAGAGAGTAATTTGAGTGATATCAAAGCTTTTCATGATAAGCCTGGAAAAAAGTAGAGGAGCAACGAGTTGTAAAACCATTACTGGTTCCAGAGACGGTATAGCAAGTGGACATGCTCAAGTTGGATTTGGAACGTCCCTGACCGCCAGAAGAGTTATGAAGATAGAAACCGTAAAGACTTAGAGTTTCAGGTAGGCGATCATGTACACCTGAAAATAAGGACATTTCAAGGAGGATATAAGATACGGAAGCTAACGAAGCGTAATAAAAATTATGGGATTGTATTCTACTATGGAGCGGATTATAGAAGTTTCTTCGGGATTGGATTTATGAATAAAGTTATCAGATTCCAGGTGTTTGTTTTAAGGAAAGTCATGAGAGAGTCAGAGCTTATTTTTCAGCAACCACTAGATGACTTCAGAGGGACTGTATGCATCTTGTCAACCAGTGGAGATTATGGATCGTCAAGTGGAAGAATTTCAGAGAATTTTGACCGTGTCTGTCAGAGTTTATTCGAAGAGAGATAGGGTTCAGTAGAAGACCTCAGGCACCGAGCAGATTCATTATTCAGAGTTTTGTTACCTTGAATTTTGAGCAGTCAACCGATGACTTGAATTCGGGGAAAAATTCCTTGTTAGTGGGGGAGAATTGTAACGACCCTAATTCCAGTTTCAGATTTTGTTTGCATGCTAAATCTGATATTTGTCTATAAATACCCAGCTCCCACCCCATCAGTTTCTTTTGTTGCAAAAAAATCAGAAGTTAGAGAGAGAGTGAGAGAGAGAGAGAGAGAGAGAGAGAGAGAGAGAGAAGGAGTGGAGAAACTTTGTGGAGGCTGAGCCACCTGGGATCATCAAAGGAACCACTGCACCAAGAGACCGTGTCCAGCTCCTCACCACCGATCATCCCCTAGGTAACCACCATAAACCGCCATGGCTTTAAGTTAGTTTTGAATCGTTTAGTAAATCGTCTATAACTCTCTAACCGTTGAGAATCTTGCGCATGCAAGGACACCACCATGTTATACTCATCGAGACGAAGTCGTAGCCACCGACCACGCCTCAATCGAAGCCTGAAAGAAGCCGCACGTGCCGTCTGAAGTTTTGTCGTCTAAGCGTGTGAAATGCACGCGCCGCTGGAGAGCCGCCGTCGGAAATCGCCGCTGCCGCGGGACCACTGTGTTTCCGCCGCCGGACCACCACCGAACCGCCGTGTCTTCGCCACCGGGCTGCCGCCGAACCACCCCGCTAGTGACTCAGCCAACTCGGCCGAGTCAATTCAGCGTGTCAACTCGGTTGACTCTGTAAACCGGTGGATTGACCAGTTTAATCCAATTGGGTTTTTAGTTAAGGTAAACTGGCGGTTAAAATCAATTGATTTTTGGTTAGGAGTACACCGGTTTGTAATTGATTTGAATCTGGCTTAACTGAAATCGATTCCGGATAAGAAAAACCGGTTGGTCCAATTCGATTTCAATCTGGTCAAGGGTTGACTGGCTTGGGTCAGAGTTGACAGGGTTGATCTTTGACCAGTGAGTTGACCTTTCCGTAGACACCCATTTTTGACCATTCGAAGGCCGTTCTGACTCAAAATTTCGGTCTGATTTCAGATTTGGGATCTATTTAAGCACCTGGAGTACATAGATACCACTTTT